AAGCTTTTTGGTGTTTGAATATCATTTCTTTTAATTTTCAAAGAAGTTTATTTCAACATATGTCCTTGTATGTTGTTTTACTATACAGAAAAACTAATTGCCACTACTAGTGAATGTATGTAATAACTTACAGTACAGGTGGTTTGAATAACACCGCCTGACCCTAGTTACTTGATACATCCTGTTAGAAGAGATTATCAAACAATACAGACACCATAAATTACAAAGAAAATTACTTTACAGCACTTAAAAGATTAATCCTGGTCACATTCCTCTCATTATAGGCAAGATTTATGTTGGAATTTGAATCTTAAGCTCTTCAGCATATTAACACCCCTACTGTGAGAATGTCAGCTTCTCCTGTATTATTGAGACAAATGTATTTAGTCTGTCTCACAACCAACATATAGGTTTTATTGTTGTCACTTGTAAACTGAGTTTTAAACCATTTGCAAGATATCAGAGTAAACTTTATATATATCAGTTACTGTTTTAATTCTAAAGCAACAACAACAGAAGTGTGGGTCTTACTACAAAGTAAAGATAATAAGAAGGAAAAATATAAAATTCTTATGTGGTACATAAGTTTATCATTCTAAATACTGAATCACATTATTATTATGAACTAAATATAAAATTACGCTAAATTACTAAACTAAAAAGTACTAACTTAAATGCAAAAGAATATAGAAAATCACACTATTTCAGTTCAAAGTGCTAAGCCTAATTCATGTAAAGACCTTGCACTTGCCACTTGATAGCTCTTAACCCTTACATTTGTGGATCAACTTCTTTCCTAAAAATATATCTATTTTGAGTTAATTTTTAAATATAATGATTAATATACATAGATAGGCGATACAGCATGACTTAAGCTACTAGAGCAAAATAAAGTCACATACATCCCATGCAGTTTTTTCCAGAAGCAAGTTTTCTAAGGCTTATAAAAAAAGTACTACTGACCAATACTAAATACAACCTCTACATAAAATGGCAGTTACTGTAATAAGCACCACCCATATTCATATTGTAAAATCCAGAGAACAGCATTTCATCACATGCTTTGCTTATCATCCTATGGTTTGTCAAACATGAAATACAGTGATTGGAATAACATGGTACTGAAATTGACACCTTCAACTAGGATTGGCTACAAGTTTTACAACTGAGGTTTAACACCCCCAGATGCTGTTTTATAAAGAAAACAGAGTAGAAATGGGTTTAGATACCAATCATAGATTGCAGGACCAGCACTAAAGTGCAAAGAAAAATTTTAAAAAAAATTCTACTTAGAGGGTGCTTATTTATAGTTTCAAACATATTTAGGGATTTTTTTAATTAAATTTCTCTTTAAACTTCATTAAACAATACAATTTTGTACAAATAATTGAATGTTATGCTACTATTTGGAAAAATAAGTTCTCTATAACTTTTTTCAATTCACAAATGTGATTTTGCCCTCACAATAAGACAAAATGGCCACAGTAGGTATGAGGTTAAATACCCGTTAAACTACATTTTAAAAGCAGAAATTAAATCCTCAGCTACATATTCTACTGCATTCATCAGAGATTTCTATTTTCTTTATCATACTTCAATTTTCTTTTCACTCAGATTGGACACTTAATGCTCAAGACCTAATAAAAAAACAATATGTACACAATAATGCACAATGTTTCATAATATTTTAAAGGACCTTGTTTGAATATATAACTGTTACTAGGCAAAACCAATTTTTTTTAATGTCAAACAACTTCTCAATATTTCATCAGAAAATCCATTGTAATGTCTTTATTCACCACAAATAGAAAATACTTAAAGTATTAAAAAATATTAATTCATTAATATACAAATTTTTTTCATAAAGAATGTCTACTTTGTCGGCTATATTATTTATTATCAAAACATCTCACTAAATCTTAAACTAACACTGTCTAGAAAGTTTCAAAATATAAAAATTTCAAATATTTAACCATTTTGGCCTGGTGAAATTTTTAGCAATCATTAGTCAACATGTTTATCTGCTACAAGTCCAACACTTTATCCACAGGCCTTTTTTTCAGGTTCAGTCGAGTTACTGCAAACTCAATTTCTTTTTCCTAGACCTTATAAAGGCTGCATTGCAATCACAGCCTATTTATACACAATGTATATTTTTTATAATATTATTCTAAATGATATAAAGTACAACATAAAAGAAACTATACATGTCATGTCTGTTTTGTGAGCTTAAAAAAAAGATCTTAATACTATATTAATTTACTGAATTCATTATAGCTCACTGAAAATCAATAAGTAAATTTACATTTATAACTGATTACATGGTTAAAAGGATGGCATGAGTGAGTAGATAAATACTGCTTTGCAGGTGTTTGCCCTGTGACAGAGATGTCGGTTGAAGCCATACAAGTGCCTGTCAAAACTTCTATTCGAACAAATGTTTAGGAAAGTAGATGGTGTGGTGCTACAAACAATGCATATACAAAAAAAAAAAAAAAAA